CTTGTGAATCTGGACAATGACCGATTCTCCCCTTGAGTTCGGAAACCTCCTCAGTCCAAACTTTCGTGATCAGCGATAGGATTTCGTTGGCAAGTACATTCTCGCCATCTTTGAATAGAGTTGGTGGTAGGCTGTCGGGACCAGGAACTTTGTGACGCTTCAAAGATTGGATTGCATCTCGGGTCTGTGCTTCATTTAGGGGGGGTGGCCCTGGAGACAGGCCAGGTATCATTATTGGAGCTGGAGGTGCCACGGGACTGTGTTGGGTGGTTGAATTGAAGAGCGAAATGCTCTGTCCAGCGACCCAGTCGCCCGTGAAGGTTGATGATCTTTGTGTCATCTGATTCTCAAATCCCCTGGCTGATAGCGTGGGGATTGCAACCGGTAGTCCTGATGATGCCAAACAGACGGTGGAAGTTTCCAGCTGACGCAACGGCTTCCATCTCATCAGCTTGCTTTGACCACCAAGATTCACGATCAGAACGAAGGCTTGTTTTCAGCTGTTGCACAATAGACCAGTGGTGTTCGTTGTACTCTGCGCCAGCAGGAACCGCCCATCGGCGATCCAGCAATTCCGAGGATCTTCCCGAGATCCAGCTTTTGGGAGTGGAGCCAGCGAGGCCACAGTTGGACAAACCGGCCGACAGCAAGGCTTGTTGTAAGCTTGACCAGTGTTGAGCAACATCCAGAGTGGGAGACAGCGAGATTTTCACGAAGCCTTTGTTGATACTCTTTCTTTACCATTGAGTCCTCCAACTTGTAGGTGTTCTGTTGTGTTTGAACCTCGGTGAAATACCGAAATGCATGCAAATGGTCGCGCATGTCAGTGCATGATCAGTATCGATGCTTGTTGACCAAGGTGATCGGCCATCGCGTACGCTGCCGCACCACCTGCGACTTATTGCTATGAACAGCACTGGGTTGATGATGGGGGTGCCAAGTGGCATACTGGCTTCCAGGATGACCAAAGCTCGTGGTGGAGAGGAAAAGCTAATGATCAGCACACAGACTGAGCAGTCTCCCCGTTGTCTGGACGGACATCATCATATCCATTCGGTCCCCCGAGGTGACGCTCATATGCCAGCAACCGACCGACATGCGCGTTGAATTCTCCTGCCAAAACAATGATGTCTGTATTAGGAGACCTTAGGAGCAGCTCACGTAGGTTCTGGTAGAACTGGTCTTTGACGGTGTTCGAGCTACAGTCATTACGCGTGTAGGCAGAGATCACGAAGAGAGCACGCTTTTCGACTCGACGTCCGCTAGCTTTACAAGAGCCATGGAGCCACATTGCACAAAGGCGACTATTGATCGAAATCCAATCAATCAGAACAGTCTCGGCTCTAGCACTGAGGGCAATTCCAACACCAGCTTGCCCAGATGTGGCAGACTCGGTGTCCCCAGAGAGGCGGATATGGGAGCGGGTGCGTGAGTAGAGTGATGTCACCAGCTGGTAGAGCGAGTTGGAGTCCTGGAGTTACGTTTGACATTTTCTTAAAATATATTTTCTGACGTCTTAAAATTATCGCGGATTTGTACGTTACCAATTTATTTTATACGCTCATTTAGTGAGGAGTTATGTCATGGTAAATGTAAACATTATTCGATTTATTTTCTTGGTCTCATCTTTTCAAGTGATTATATATATATATATATATATATATATATATATATATATATATATATATATACGGTTGACGACATCCGGGCTTGCTTGTGTTGATGATGAGCCCGAATTTGGTCACTGTCGAAGCCAGAGCACTGGTCATGTGCTGCAACTCATCCGCGCGGTGGGCAAACAACACACAGTCGTCAGCGACCAGCAACATACAGATAGTTGTCTCACAGGCTAGAGTTTTCGCACCGAAACGACGAATGTTCAACAACCCACCATTAATACGGTGCTCCACACGAACACCGTAAGCACAAGCGACATCAAAAGCACAAGACATCATTGCATGAGGATATATATTAAACAGAGCACGAGCTAAGGCACAGCTTTGCTTCACACCAGAGACAAACGTTAACTCATCCGAGGTCTGTTCACTCAGCTGCATCCTCGCCTGCATACTACTCTGCGGACATTCAATTAAACCAAAAACTTACGCGAGCAACCAAACTTATCCAACACCAGTTACAATACCTCGTGGTTCACGGTATCAAATATCTTAGAGAAATCAACAACAAGCGAGTGCAATGGCTGGTGTCGTTCTCTGCACTTCTCCTGCAACTGACGAGCTGAAAACACCATATCTATAGTGCTGCGACCCGAACGGAATCCACACTGCTCTTCCGCCACGTTAGGTTCCACAACCTGACTGACGAGGTGGTTAAGCAGGATTCGGGCAATCACCTTGCCCACACAACTCAGCAAGTTGATGCCACGATAATTCGTGCAACATTGCTTGCTACCTTTGCCCTTGTACAGTAGTAGCACAAAAGCATCCTTCAGCTCCGGAGGTACCTCCTCCTCAATCCATGCACGTTGCTCCAAGTGGTGCAGCGCAGTCACCAACGCGGGTCTGCCGTGTTTCAGTACTTCAGGCGGTATCCCGTCGGCCCCGGCACATTTGCCGTTTCGCAGCTGAGCAAGTGCTCTCTTCGTCTCTTCCGGTGTCGGCGTGTCCGCCGAACTCGTCTTCACATCGTGCTGCTTGAGACCGTTCAATATAGACCAAACGATCTCTGAACGGTTGTTCAAGAGACAAAGTGTTTTCGCCAGATCTGGGTTATGTCTGCAGTCTGTGTGCGGGTGGCGCCTGAATTACCATTGATCAGCGTCCTCATCGGCTCCAATCTCGGTCCATACACCGCCTTCAAGGAGTCGAAGAATTCCTTGTGTTGGCGGCGTTCGGCGTAGCATTCCGTCTACCTCGCCTTCTTTACCCACCATTCATTTTTAATGCGACCCAGCCCTCGGGTCAGCCGCCGTCGATTTTTTCCGAAACTGACTATTCTTCCGCATGTCACTGGGATCTGCCACATGTGCAGCAAATGCTGCATTCTTCTCCGACACCAATGCGCCAATCGTTGCATTGTTGTCATCAAACCAATCAGGCCGCTTACAGTTTGCGCGCCCGATGGTGTCTTCGGTAGCAACTGTCACCTGGTCGCGAATGTGGTGCCACAGGTCGTCCACTGTGGCTATGCAGTCCACGTCACACAGGCGTGCAGCCATCGCCTTCTGCAGCTCAATACGTTTCGCCGCAGTACCGAAGGAGAGGTTACATTTACGCCGATACACGTCTGGAGTGCAACACACAGATTTACGAAACGATATGTACAGTTTGGTCATCACCAATTTGTGGTCAGTGACACACCAAGCTCCACGCAGTACATGTCTCCTGCGCACTTCACGCATATTACGCCGATGTACGATGACATAGTCGAACAGATGACAGTGACCACTCCGTGGGTGCCTCCAGGTTGCTATATCACTCTCACTCAGTGCAAACCAAGTGTTCACGATCATCAGGCCGTGAGTGGCACACAGTAAGAGCAGCCTGTCACTGTTCGCATTCGCTGAATCAATGCAATGCGGACCGATAACCTCTGTCCATGCCGATGCATCACGCCCAACGCGCGTGTTGAATTTACCCAGCAGAAATAGTCGGTCGCTCCTCGACACAGACCGTATCACGGAGGATAGCTCAGTGTAGAACTGACCACGTGTGTCATCAGGATAACACATGGTCGGACCGTATGTGCTTATAAAGTTGACAAACTTACCTCTTCCGAGTCGTAGGCGAACCGTCATCAGTCATGCGCTGATGCCTGTTGTTTCACCCACGAGCTGGCGATGAAGGAGATCGGATATTACAAATCCGATTCCACGATTACATGGTGCTGAGGCGGCGTTGCCCACCCAGTAGAATGTGTATCTAGCACCTGCTTCATGTAACTTACCTTGCTCAGCGAGCCGGGTTTTACTGAGCGGCGCAAGATCGGTATTGTGCCGCGCCAGTTTCATCGCGACCAGTACAGTGCGTCGCTCGCTGGAGTTCCGGTCCAGTAGTGTGCGCACGTTCCAGCACCTGATGCTGAGTGCTTTGCGCGCAGGCCTTCGATTGCATTGGTGGGCAATCGCACGCTAGGGGGCTGTTGTGGTTCAGAGGTTTGCTTGAGGGACTCCACGCGGAGCCTTTGGCTCAATAGCCTGACCCACAAGGCGATGGGGAGCAGATCCAGCTCGGGAATGTGATTGCAGAGACAGATTGGGATCTGCTTGACGGCCGTCACATGCAGCTTTGAGGTACTGGAACAATTATCATGTGTTTTTCGACCGTAGTAGGATACGCACCTGCGACCACGGCCAGACGCAGGTGGGTTTTTGGCGGGTTTGCACCAATTTGACCAGGACTGCCTGGCTTGAGGCGGGCATCCGGATGTGCCCTCCCACCGTTTGAGACAATGCGTGGTGTTCATGCTCTACGCCAATCGAGTTGTAAGCTTATAACCCGTGGACCTGTTATCTCCCATGGCTAGGTTTTATGGGAAGTGGGCCATCGACCACTTCCTAACCTCAGAAGAGGATATTGGCAGTGCGCCCGCACCTGACAGCAGAACGACACGATTCCTCAGTCAAAGCCTTCGAAAGCCAGCGTCTCTATCACATGGTCAGTTCACTGACTCATGCGGATTGGTGTCCTGGATCTTAGTAGGGAGAATGGTGTATCCCAACTCCCACCCAGCGGTCGCCACGAGGAGGTGTCCAGGACATGAGCCAATGACACAACTGTAACAGCAGTTGGTAGACCATCTGTCAGGACCTAGCTACCACCAGCCTCAGCACACCATAAATATATGTCTAATAGAACGATTACATTCTGCCATCCAACCTGTATTCCAAGTGTTCCAAATGTTGGCTTTACATCCGGCGTTGTTAAGCCCTGTTTAGGACTTGTAAGCGTTTCAAATGATTTTTCTATCTCTTTCCGATTTGATCCCGTCTCTCACTCCATCCGGCTGATGTGTTCATCCCATACTGTTTTCCTCTGCAGTACCTCCAACGGCAACGATTCTTTCATTGATGACTACATTGACCTGTGCTGGACTTTTTCTTCGCTTAGCCGATTCAATGTGTACCGCATTTGCGTCGTGAGTTCTGACATTTTTGTGTTTTCTTTTGTGCGAAACACACCTTGCGCATGCAGCTCGGTCTCGTCATCTCCACTAGAGACACACCTTCATTTAACATTTAGCCCTGGCTTAATCTCAAAGGAAGTGTTTTTGTCCTTTACGTAATCCTCAACATTTCACTCTTTCTTTACATCATCATGATTACACGTTAGCTGGTGTGGAGCACACCTCAGCCAATGTGTCGCAACGCAGGAGATAAGTTATACAGAATGTCGTGATACCGAACTTTTTAGAATACTACATAAAAAATCAATATGGAACATTATGACATACACCACGCATGAGAGCGTAGTTGGGGGTGCATTATAAGCGGATGAAGCACGGACACAGGAACTCTTAGCCATTTTAGTAAGTGTATCCAAATAAACCTGTTCATAGTGCCTCTGACCCTAGCTCGGCAGACGCCAAGGTACATCAACTTAGCATTAAGAACATCACTCTTCTCGGCCATGCCATCGCTTGGCCTCTCCTCCTTTTCCTCCATGCACACCCCGGCACGCAAACAACGCACGATGCGGGAGTCGGCATGCACATCACGTGACCCATCCATCGGAGCCGGATGCATGATATATCGGTGTTGAGTGATTCACTGGCTCTTCCTACACTAAATACGCGACCCCCAAGTAATCTCAATGCTCACGCTTTGTTCCCATCAGACATTAGACATAGTACGAAGCCAGCGGTGATCAAAGGTAGCTAGCATCTTTATGTCTACCCATTTGATGGACCAGATTTCCAAACCGTATAAGTGGGTTGAACGGACGTTTGCATGGTAAACTCTGTCTTTCAGTGCCATAATAGTGTCGCGTCGGCGCCACAGGTGACGGAGATTTGGAAAAACGCCTCGATCTATTGCTCTGCGGTTTCCGACCTCATCTTCGATTCCACGGGCGCCGACATATCTGCTCGGATCCTTGAATTTCTCGACAACTTCTAGATGATCACCGTCAAAGGTTAGTACAGCGCTGAGTCCCTGCCAATCTTGGTGTACCTTACATTTTTATGGTGCAAAGCATAGCCCGAGACAACTGACAGCCAAAGCTAATTTATCTAGTGCAACTTCAAAGGTTCGGGAGCTGTCACAGATGAGCGCAATGTCGTCGGCATACTCTAAGTCGAGAGGTCGCTCACCAGATAGCAGCTCCACACCTTATGTCGTGCCCGGTGAACGCCGTTTTAATAACTTTGTCAATGGCGAGGTTTATGAGGAAAGTTGACGGCGCGCAACCTTGTCTCACACTGCTGGAGATATTGAAGAGCGGCAAAGGCTTGCCGTAAACCCTCACTCTATCCGAGCTAGGCGCTTATAGTGCTTGGATAATATCCCCATATTTCTCGGTCACACCTTTCCTGAGTGGGCAGTAATAATAATAGTAATAATAATAATAATAATAAATAATGTCAGATGTATGCCGTAACAGCGTTTCGCTGCTGTGCGACCCCTACCAGTCGCACGCGGGCTGAGTATACCGCGAGGGCGCCCACCCCTACGCGGATTCGAACCCGCGCCGCCAGATTACGAGACAAGATCGTTTTTTCTAGGCTACGAGCCGACTGAGCATACAGTCCCGAAGGGCACATCGATCAACGGAGAGTGGATAGCCGAAAACAATTGACAGTCAGTTGATTTCTGTAATGCTGCTTGGCACGCTTGTGAGCTGTCACAATATCGTCGACCTATTCTAAGTCAAGAAGTCGGTCACCTGGTAGCTGCCCTATTATCAACAACGTTTGTTCGTTAGCCATTTGAACTGCTGCTTCGTTGCCGTACAACCATCTAGGGGCGAAGAATAATGACAGTGAGAGGAGGACCTAGCGTAAAACCTTAATGCCCTAAACACCCACTCGGGACAAAAGCGCCTACACCTTGTATCAACAACATACCATCACAAACAGCTGGCTATCGTGCAAAGATAAGGCGTCATCAGGGATGCATCTTGTTTGCGGCCTTCAATTCCCCGCGTCATAATCTTTACCCTGCAGATAGCTCAACACCAAACACACTTTAAACAGGCAGTCCGGCTAGCAGACTACAGCAGAAGCGCCACTCGTACCGACTACGATCAATGTCCCGTAAAGTCTCGAGCGAGGCGCGTCAAGTGGACTCCAGACCGGAAGGCGAGACGGACCGACGGCACCCAGTTTGGTCGTCAATGACTTCATTTGCCGTTGCCAAGTCAACTTTTGTCCACCTCGAACCTTGCGCCATCCTACATCTGGCAGACAAAAGCCCTTCTCGGTAAGTGGTGACTTGGCATACCTAGTTCGTGCCCAAGCCAGCGCAACTTATACACTGCTACCTGTTGTTATAAGGAACTAGCTTGGTTGTCACTGCCTAGTACTCGCCTACGTACACCATCGTTGTGGACACGTAGTTGCAAACCGACACCAGCAATACTCCGCAGACAGCCCTGGCCGATAATTTGAGGGCGCTACCAGTCCTCATGTCTTAAGGGTCATGTCTCATTCCCCTAGAGTTGGATGGCCGACACTGTGACTTTGTAAACCCAGTCTTTCAGATCGAATGAAAGCCGTATCTGAAGCGATGAATGTCGCAGATTTAACTAAGTACATAAATGTTTTATTCTGAACAATGCGAGACACGCCTGTATCGGCATGATCATGGTGATATAAGGACTGGTGAATATAAAAACGGCACAAGTTTATACGTAGCATATGGGTCCATGTACTGTGTATAGATGCATTCACAATATGAATGCATAGGAAAAGGAAATGAACCACTCAGCACCGTCATTTCACGCATCAGGCTCCGATGGCTCGTCCACGTATTATGCATGCCAGCCCACCGACTCCCGCGAGGTGCGTTGTTTGCGCACCGGGTATGTGGATGGAAGAAGAGGAGAGGTGGCCAAGCGATGACTTGGTTGAGAGGAATGAAGTCCCTCACTTCGAAGCTGCGCTCAGTTGGAGCGTCTCGGCTCCCTCTTTGGTGTCCGAAAGACGATGAACACATTTGGCTAGATACACTTGTTGATATGGCTAAGAGCCGGCCTCAGTGGCGTTCGTGCTGTGAGTTTCTTTATCCCACCCCATCCCTCTTAGCCTTCCCCTCCAACCACGATCTCATTATTTAGCATTTTATACTTTTGCCTAGTAAATTATTTTTTTTCTGCTGCATAGTAGCCGGCAGGTAGCTTACCGGAACAATGCCCATGCGTTACCGGTAGCTCAGTTGGCTTGCACCTGTTGCATTTTGTTCTCTTTTTTATTTTAGGTATTGCGGCCCAGTAGCTGAGGTGTATCCCACCTCTAGCTAACTTATACAATGTGTGTGTATGCATTCATGTAGATAAGGTGTGTGGTCGGGTTGCCCCATGCTGAGGCTGATGTTGCATTCTTGATGCTTCTTCACCGCAGTTGGGTTAAACCAACTTACACTTAAACTAGATCTTTTTAAGCTGGATAAATTTCATTCCGCTTTATTTGGTTTGTTCTGCCTCCCTGAATAATGTTCTATTAACTGGCCACGTTGCTTACACTAATTGCGCTTATCTTCGGTAATTTTGTTGCGTTTGTAGCATTTTAAGTAACTTGTGGACATTTCTTACTTATCACGGATTTGTTGCTGACCAACTTACTTCATATGGTAATTTAGCGAAGAGTTATGCCACCGTATCTGTATGCATTATTGGATTTATTTTATTTCAGCTTGTTGTTTAAATTGAATGGCTTTAGTTTGATATCCCTGGTATGGTTGCGCTTGATGTGTATGTTGACAAGGTGCCTACCTGTCTATTACCCACTACATCGTTCATACTGGCTCCAGGAGACAGTTGGTCGTTGCTGGAGGGGACGGGGTGCACGGTTCTTGTGGCCGTGCTAGGCTCAAAGAGCGGTTCCATGCACTCAGTGTGGAGCGGACTACGGTCCAGCCACCGCCTTGTGTGCGGTTGATTCCCAAAATACAGCGTGCTTGTGTTTGCCTGTGAAGGAGTGTGGGCCGGCTCCGTTGATGAAACGTGGTTCCCATCCGCATGCCTCCCGGTCTTATTCCTTCGGGTTTACACTGGATATGGGCTGTGTGGGTGGTGTAGCGCAAGCCACTCATGTTCCCTCTGTAGGCGCTGATGTCTTGCGACTGTCCACAGTGACAGGCAAGTCCGAAACCGGATGCCGCCAACTATGGTTGTGTTGCTTTTATTCGTAAATGTGACGCCGTATTTGTGATTGATTTTTGTCAGGCCGTCAACGTGAGTAGGGATGAAATGATATCTTCGTATTAGATGACTGACGTCCGTAGGTTGGGTGAGAACATCCAAATACGTAAGAGGCAAGGACTTTAGTTAGCGGCGAGTTACATCCGCCACGTCACCGTGTTGTTAAACAGACGTTTGTGGCTTTTTATAGGAAGAACGCTTGGTAGGCGAAAGCCCACCACGTCCCGGAACACTGCCGCCGAATTATTTGCTGGAACAGGGTAAACCCGAACCACCCAGCTGGCACAACGGGGAGGTTGTTTGGCTTGTCAGAGAACAGTTCTGGGTTTTGCAATGCATGAACCGACTTCAGTCGTTATTCGCCCATCGATGGTGATGCAGCTGCCAAGGTAGGTGAATTGATCAACTATCTCGAGTTTTTCGTTACCAAGCATCAGTGGTTCATCAAGTGGCTGATCGTCCTGCAACAGCACTGCACTTTGAAGGTGCGAAATGCACACCAGCTAATGGGACTACTCTAGAATGGTTATTCAGGGTTGATTGGGCATAGTTAAACAGCGAGACAATATCGTCCGTATAATCACGATCAACTTGCCTTTCACCAGACAGCACCTCAACACCTTCACCACGAGATTCCGCCAAACACAACTGGTTGTCGGGAAGAAATTCGATAACTCAGTAAACCCTGACGCTTCACGTAAAATATTCACGTATTTCATGGGAGCATCTTTTTGCACAAGTATTTCGGACAGAATGTACCGATCAACTGCATCGAACGCA